AAATCCAATCGCAATCGCTTGACTAATTTTTTTTTTTTTTATTTTGCGATATCATTCATTAGCTTCAATTATTTTTTTTTTATAATATATATAACATTAATTATGTAAAGAGAGATACGACAGAGAGCGCAGTTTCGTCCTTTTGCCTTCAAAATACCTCCCTTTTGTTTCGCTTTCCTCCCTCACATTTTTTTTTCTTCAATTGTTTTTTTTTTTTATTTTTGTTTTGTCTCTTGTCTTTTTTTTCAGAACTTTCCTTATTACAGTTTTTAAGTCGCCTATGTTTACATTATTTATGCACTATACACAAGTCGCTCCGAGATTTTCTCTCCCGGATATGGATTTACATAAAATATATATTTATATTTACGGGTTTTGTTATTTTATTTTTTTGTTTTGTTATTTATAAAAAGGATCGAATAATGTATACGATAAAAAGTAAAATTTCAGCTGATCTCCTACGTGGCGACATACAAATTTGCGACTGTACTGCGCGAGCTCAAGCTAAAAATCGTTATTATTTATATAATTATATCGACGATTATAACGACTATTTGCTCATTAGCAGCTTGTTTTTTTTTTTAATTCATCATTCTGGGTCCATTTTTCGATTTCATGTGGCGCGTTTTAAATTAACGAATTTGCGGAATAGTCGCTAAAGAATTTTTTGCTTTAGAAGATGAGAAAAGGGGCGGGAATACTTTCCAGAGGCGAATGTTTTTTATATAATATTTGGAAATTTTTTTATAGAAAAAATATTAAAGGAGGAAAAGTTTAGAAACGACTAATTTTATTTTTTCAATTTACTTTGACCGAAATCGCCATTTTTTTTATAGTGTTAGTGAAACGAAAATTTTGATTGCATGACGGAAAATAAATAAAAGTATTTTCAGTTCTAATGTTTGGTTAAGAGAAATGGTATAATTAAAAGTTAGTCTAATTTTATTGTTTCTTTTTTTTTCGTCAAAAAGTAATTTATAATTAAAAAGTGTTTTAGCCAAAGTGTGAAATTTTTTTTTAAGGTTATGTGATTTCATATGTAAATATTCTTCGCAAATTTTTTCGCAAAATTCTTGATAGTTTTAGCTAAAATTTTGTATCTAACTCCAAAATAGTATAAGGATTTGTGTTGTCATGTGCCAAAGTATATGAATATTTTCACAAAAAATTTATATTTAAAAAATTGAATGTTTGTGGCAATGTGATGTTAAGGCGCTCTCTCACACCTTTTTGGCTGCCTGCAGGTTACCATGACAACGCACGGGTGTGAGTGAGACAGAAATTTGAAATATTCACATTTTCTGTCGCACTCACTCTCATGCTTTGCCATGGTAACCTGTAGGCAGCCAAAAAGGTGTGAGAGCACCTTAACATCGCATTGACGCCATATTGAATTTTTCTCAATTGTGCAATTTTTTAATAAAATATTAATTCTCTGGCACACAAAGAGTTTTTTTTTTGTACTATTTTTGAGTTCTTCACAAAATTTTAGCTATTTAATCCTATAAAATATTTTACGAGAAAACCTGCAGAGAAAATAAAATCACATAACCTTAAAAGTTGTGATTAAAAGTTGTGTTTCTAAAATTAAAAAACAAATTTCGATAACATAACATACATTTTTTTTTTTAATCACTTGAAAGAGAAATATTTTATTTCAATTAAACACGTAGCTGAAGTACGCAACGTTTATGATAAACGATTTTTAAAGAAATAATTGTTTCAAAATGGAAAATTCTATAATGTTTTGCCTAAAAAAAAATATTTCTCGTAGTTTTCATTAATCAACAAATTATATAAAAAAAAATATTTTTTAGGTAAAAAATTATAGAATTTTTCCTTTTTAAAAAATTATTTCTTTAAAAATCGTTTATCATAAACGTTGCATACTTCAGCTTCGTAATTATTAATTAAACTTACAATATTCCACACACAACACGTGGTTGGATTCAAATTTGTATGAGGCTTAAATTGTAAAGTAAAATTAATATTTAAAACAAGTTTAATAATTTAACAAAACTTTAAATTTACCCATTGACAATCGACAATAAATTAAATTTTATTATTTAAAAAAAAAACATGAGATAATTAACTTTTTATAAACTGGGGGTTATGTTGGATGAACTCGAGTAACGAAAATGATTGATTACTTTTTAATATGAATCTACTTACAGTTTTTCTCGTTAATTTCTATAAGTGCGGAAAGAAGACTTCTTTTTTTATTCACACAATGTCTAATTGTAAAGAAAATTTAAATTTCGAGTCAACAAACTCGTCTTACTTTTAAAGAGCACAGAACAAGAGTGACCATGCTTCTTCGGCGTCTTGTGTATCACGTGACGCTGGCATTCGCAATGACACTTCCAGTGCCACACTTTTCAAATTTCTGTACCAGAGATTACTAAACTTTTGCCAACATATAACACGAGAAAATACTTCCTGTTACACGAATTTTAATCTTTATCTAATGTCAACTTTTTTAATGATACAAAGTGTCAAAAATAAAATTGTTCACACTTTCGCAAACTTTTTAATTAAAAATTATTTTTTAACTTAAAATATAGGAAAAAATGGAGATGAACTAACTTTTAATGTGATCATATTACTTTTTAAAGGCCTGAGCAGAATAGAAACGTATCCGGAATCGTAACCGGAATAATGAGTTAGAGAAGGACAAACAATATGTTTATCCTTCTCTAACTCATTTTTCCGGTTGCGTTTACAATTACGATTCCGGTTACGTTTCTATTCAGCTCAGGTCTTAAGATGGTTTAATCCTTTGACATAACCTCAAATTAAAAATTGGTTTCATTATCAAATAAACTACATTTAAAATTAAATTTTTAAAGATTCAATTCTAATATCTTTTCAGACAAAATTTGTTAATTAATAATTTTTTCTTTTATTTAAATTTTGGTGAAAAATTGTTATTTTTATCCAATTTTTTTTTATTAACACTCGGTTTACTATTCCAACGATTATCTATAATTCTTTTTGCTTATTTTTGTTAAATATTTGATTTAAAAAATATAAAAAAAAATTGTTAACAAAATTTAACAAACATGTTGAGAATCTTTCAAAAGAGAAAAATGAGCTAATTGCGAAAATTGTCCAAAAATTATAATTTATTACCAAACAAAAAAATAAATAATTATTATTTAACAAAAATTTTGGCTCAAAAGCAATTTTTTTTTATTTTTACAATCGATCATTCAAAATATAATAAAATTAATTTTAATCAGTTTTTTTCATATGATAAAATGAATTTTAGTTTGAGGTTATGTTAATTGCTTAATCCATCTCAAGTAACAAATTGAGAAAATTAGCAAAAATAACAAAAAAAAAATGTCACTTTGCATTTGAATTAAAAAAGTTTGCTGTTGACATTAATTGTCTAAATGTCAATATCTCAGAAGAATTGATATTCAAATTGAATATAGGTTAATTTGATTACCAACCGAGTGTCGATAACTTACTATCAGAAGTTACTAAACTTTTTGAAAAGTTAAATTTTGCAACCAAAACAAAATAATTTGTTGTCACTGTTAACGCGTGGTAATTTTTCAAAAATGGTTTGAAGTTCTATTTTTTTTTCGTAATGAGAAAAGGGAACGATTGGTGCAAATTGAATATGAATTCGAGGAAAGTCATATATGGAAGAATGTAGTTTTTTTTTCTGTACAATGATTATTATTAGACACGAAGTGTTTTAATTCGATTTACAGATGATATTTTTTGTATTTCGTAGTTTATTTAAATCGCATCTGTAGATGAATTTCGAAATACTTCTCTCTCTATCTTCTCTCTATTTTTTTTTTATTCTTTCTCACATTTCGTGAATGTAATTCTTACCTATAGGTGCTCAATTAATTATAATATAGAGTTTTCGGAAGGTAGCAATAGTTTCCAAAGGTATATATATATAACAAGTACGTATAAGAAACGCATCACTTTTTTTTTTATCAATTCTCAAAAATCTATTGATAATATTTTGAATCGTGGATTTATCGAGTCCTTTTTTTTTTTTACTAATAATAATAGTGATCTGGAAATATTCCAGTTATTCTCGCTGAGTGTACATTTTTAAAATACCGGTAAAAGCTCTATTTTTTTTTTACTGTGCTCGTCTATTTCAGTCAGTCCATTTATCGTCGTCGTTTTTTTCTTTCTCACTTTACTCGTAGGGAAACCAGACTTTTTTTTTCATCAAAAAATGTTTTTTTATTCTAAACTTTCTTTTTTTTTTGGTTGTCTTATTTTTGAGCTTTTTTTTATTTTATTTTGAAAAAACAGTTTTTTTTTAGAAAAAGTCTAAAATTTACTAATTTAAAAATAATAATGATTTCCCTGCGTGTCGCAATTTATATGATATCAATTCATGGCTTTAGAGCCCTCTTTTATTTAATTAAAAATCTAAGAACAAGTGGCGCATTTTTTTTTTAGTTTAATGAAACATTTGTTTTTTGTTAATATAGAGATATATGTATATATATAATAAACGAGAGAAGAAGAGTTTCGCGTGCTTTTCTTTTGATATTGATCTTCGATCCGGAATAACGAGGGAATTGAAAGATCGATTAATTATTAAGTTTCAATATAGAATCGACACTTTGAGTAGTTGTTTGTCGTCGGCTTTAGAATTACGTGAGCATAAAAGCCATTGAATTAATTCGTTTCTGGTCAACGAGCTAGGAACAAAACATGAAAAAGAATGTAATATAAAACTTTTCAAATAAAAATATTTTAAAATATTGATTTTAAAATTAAAGTTTGACTTTTCTGATTTCGGTATTTTTTTATTTTTTATTATGAAGAGGAATTGTATCTAGTTCTATGAAAAAAAAATTCACTTTCTAGAAAATGATTTGTCTTTTTGAATTTATATTCTATATTCGTATAATTTTATCATTGTTCCATTTTTATAATACTCTTTTTTTAATTCTTATATAGATATTGTAATATTATGTTTTTAAGCTTTTTTTTAGTCGTTATATTTATCGTTCTATTTTTTTTTTTTTTTTTTTTTTTTTTTTTTTTTTTGTTACACTAGAAAAAAGTTACAATTCCTCTCGAATATCAGCAGCACTTTTTATATTGACGAGCACAGGCATATATATAAATATTTGTTATTTTTTTTTCATTTTCTTTTTAATAAAAATTAAATGACTCAGGATAAAAATTCCCTCGTATAAAGGAACTATCGTTATAATATTTTGTACGAGACTCGACTTGGCTCGTATGGAAAATTAGAAGAAAAATACGAGCAAAGACAATCGTTTATCGAACGTATATCTATTACATCGAGATTCGACTATTATTTTGGATATGAATTTTTGACAAATCGCACACCCAACTCAGTAATTAAAAACAAAAAAAATTTTTAAAGAGAACTCGAAATTCATCAAAGATAGAGAATAGGATTCATTTTGAGAAAAACATATTAGAAAAAATTACAGAATTTTGATGATTTAACTCTCGTCCCCTTTTTCTGTCTTTGTTGATTTTGAGATCAAAGAGCTTTCGTTTCTGGGAAAATCTAAACTGACACCAAATGATTTTTTTTCCCCATAAATAGATGAAGAGAATTTTTTTCTAGTAAAAAGTTGTTTTGAATAAAGAAACCTTTTTCGTCTAGACATTAGAAAATTTGATTAAAAATTAAAATAAAGAGTTTATTCTCTTCCTGGAGTCAATATTGATTTTCCTCGTGCAAATGGGTGTATTTTTTTTTAAAGTTAAAAAGACGTCGGTCGAAAAGCGAGAAAGGTAAGAAGATTTAATCCAACGTGATCTCTCTCTCTTTTTTCTAAATTGTGAATTGAGATCAACAACGAAGCGGGTGTTGGTTTTCAAATTTTTTTTTCTGCACATTATAAGATTTAATAACGCTTAAATAGAGACTGAAATGCTGGCCCTTACTGTTTAGCAGTCTTGGCGGAGGTTCTCGAAGTCGGAGCAATAAGAGACCCCATAATAACGCAAATAGGTGGCACGTTGGTCGATTGTAAGGCTCGAACGGACCGAAGATCACTAAGCGACTCTCTACGCAAATTTGTTACTAACTAATAATAAATTGTAAGCAGAGGTTGTTTTTTGATCGTCAACGATCCGATCCATATAGGAGTCTTAACGCTTCTTTTTTTGGTTGGTCCATCGAGAAAAAAAATCCTGGACCATCTCCTGGGGAATCCCTGGGATTAAAGTCTGAATTTATCGACGGAGAACGCGATTCTAGTTTTGCTTTTTGCCTACACACCCTCTCCTTGTGCTTCACCATTATGTTTTTTTTCTAATCCAGTTTTTAGTTTTCTTCACTTGTTTTTTTTTATTTTCCTTTAGTCGCGCGTATCTGATGTACGCAAATTAGATAAGTACGCTAAGCAGGTACTGGAGCGAGAGTACCGGGGCAATTCATTTGAATTGCGCTTAGTACGAAAATCACCAGTGGGACAACAAAGTGTGATTTGGTAATTATTGCTTTTGTTGCTCTCCTGATTCCATTGTGATAGGGATTTTATTTGTGATTGAAGGCAAATGGAGATGGACCCGTCACTGCGCTCCGATGGAAGTGCACGTTTTGCCATTTATTGTCCCTCTTATGCCATACGCGGCTTTCTTCGCTCTGTTGAGTGTGCGCCACACCTTGTCTGAAATTAATAGAATTTTTTATTTTCTTTTTATTTTTGATATTAATGAGGATTTTTATGATAGAGTACAAGTCCGATAAGCTTCCGTCCGTTAAGTCATTCAGTCATAACTAATTAAGGCCTCAGTTCCATGATGGCACGAATGCAAAATTCAAAGCAGAAAATCATGAGAATGAAAAGGATAGGGATATCTTTCTATCTCTTCTGAACTCATGGTTTTCTGCTTTGTATTCTGCATTCGCGCCGTTAAGTTTCCAATTCCTAGTGTTTTGGTGACAGCGGTGGGATAGAGTCGTTAAGATTCCTGAATTTTAGGATTTAATGAATTAATGTTCAATCTTAAAGATCTGTTGTTTAAAAGTCCAAGATTACTCCTAGTGTCGCGGAAATGTTCTCGGGTGTAGTATTCTATTAGATGTTGTCGCGCCAAATTAGTAGAGGTAGCACCACTTCGAGCAAATGGCGATACCAGTTAAAAAGCAAGCTTTGTCACTTTAGGAGATTTGAACTTGTAATGGATGAATTTACTGGTCGTTACAAATATAAAAACCTAGGGAAAAAGATTCTCCTTTCCAAAATTCCGGTAGATTTATGATTGTCAACTTGAGCGAACCAGCGAATTAATGCTGGTATTGTTTCTTTTCGCAAGTTTATTTCACTAAAATCCATAGTACATGTACATTATTTCTTCAAAATTCCAATTGATGAACAATCCAAAGTAGTGGCTGTGCCAAATTTCCGCAAGTTAAGAAACATTGAGTAGAAGTTCCAGGTTCGCTTGAAAAGTTATCTCCCGAGGGACAAGATGTCTAAAAGCAGTGTTAAGCAAACCGATTCATCCTTAGAAGACATTGATACAGTTCCAGCCTGTAGAACTCAAATGTTGTATTTTTGTTTTATCCCCAACGGAGAATAGGAACATTGTAGTCGAACAAGTTCGTACAAAGGAAGATAGCTCCACCTCTATTCTAAAGATACCTTCTCCCTACACCTTGTTTGAATGTCCAAAGTATGGGATTTGTAGACCCAGAATTAATGTACAAATCGTAATATTTTGACAGATGAGGCGCGAACGATAAATAAATGGAAGGCATCAGTTTTTAGTCTCCGAAGAAATAACAATTTACAAGATAGCCACTGGGGATCCTTTTTGAATCTCCAAGAGACTAAATACTGATGAAGAAGCTACAAGAGACAAACTGATGGACCTCTTAGTAGAGCATCAGCTAATACAGGAGCTCAACTGGATAACGAAATCAGTTGATTTAAGAAGTACACGGAGAGAAAAATCAAATTGTGCTTACTGGAGACTCGCAAGTAAATATACGTAAACTATATCACAGTTAGTATTACACGATACCCAAGTAGCTTTAACTTTGGTATTGTTTACGTATATTTACTTGAGAGTCTAAAAATGATCCATGGGATTTGGTGTTTAAGAAACAACATAGAAAATTTATGTTCTGCTTTCTATTTGGCTCCAAGAGGTTTTAATGATTATTCCTCCATGACTACAGAGAGAACTGTATTCATTATACAGTATAGAGGGAACACCTCTTTATGTATAAAGAAATTTATTCGGAGCTCCTTATCGACGTTTTTAATACATAAAAGCTAAAAACTTATTTCGCTCAAAGAACGTTATTCGGAGTTTCTTCTCGACGCTTTATTGTCTTCTCTTTATTACGTAACTAAAAATGGAGAGTTCTTCAGTGACTGGAAAACATAAAAGTTGGCTCTTCTTGTATTAGGAAAAGAGATAAAACTCTTGAAAACATCCTAACGTTTAGAATTATTTTATTCGATAAAATAGAGAATGCTACTGGATACTTCAGAGAATTCTGTTCGCCTATTCGGTAACCAATTTCGCTTTCGTAAAAGACGTCTGGCGAGGGAATATTGGAATTATATTCTATAGCACTAAAATTGAGTTAAGTCAGCGTAGGCATAGCATTAATGAAGTGTAGAAAATTTAAAGAGGAAAGAATTCTGTACGCTTGTTTCCATCAACACACAAAAATGGTTCCAACTCATGGAATATCTGTATCGTTAAGAAGTATCTATCTGTTGTAAATGATAAAATTTTAGAACTTTAAAGTATGCCCTAGGTTGTGCTGCATTTCCACTCATTTCGTAAAACCAAGATGTTTTACTGTAAAGACACTAGAAGACATTAGAAAAGATATTTGTCTCTTCCTAGTCAACTGAAATCTCCGATTGTATGACACTTTTCCGCTACATTAATACCGCGTGTGTTTTACTTCAGGAATTTTTCGTTAAGACGAAAATAATGCTCAGCTTGCACAGGGTTTAAAAGATTCCTACTTGGCTCTTGGGAAGGTTTGTCCATTCAAATAAATTAATCGAAACATATTGTTTTGGAGTCTAAAGCATAGGTTTCTCAACCTTAAGCTAGAAATCGGAAACCAAACCTTTGTCATTTTTGTAGCTTGCCTTTATGATAAATAATTACTGAAAATAGTCACTGGCATAATTTACATGTTGCACACTAAGTTTCTATAGCTCCTATGTCTGTGCAATAACATAGGCTTTACTGATTTTGATGCGGCAAATGTCAAAGCTGTTTCTGATAGGTTTTTTCATGCTGAACACGAATCTATAAACGAAAAGTTCCTATCTAGCACTGAAACAAAAGGTCGTAGAACCTTCCACTTGGGCATAATGTTTTTACTACAATCCCCAAAAATCATCTTTCTGGTACCATGACCAGAAAGTCATGCTTCCTTTGTTGAAAGTAAACTTAATTTTGCAACTCAAAAATAAATTACAAATGACTTTGAGGACATGGTGTAAGAAAGGTGATATTTGGGGATTCTAGTTGAAACATTAAGCTTCAATTTAAGCCCAAGTGGAAGGTTCTACAACCTTTTTGTTTCAGTGCTAGAGGTACTTAAAGTTTGACAAAAACGCAATTTTTTGACAAATTTTCGTTTACGGATTCGTGTTCAGCATGAAAAAACTTATCAGAAACAGCTTTTGTGTCAGTGATTATTTTTCACAAGGATGTTTAGATATTTTCCACTAATTAGGGTACAAAACATAAATAAAATTTATCCAAAAGTTTGATAATAATGATTGTAAATTAGTAAAAGAAAAAAAAATTAAAATACATACTTATCCATGTACTGGGTAAGTCTGACGTAAGCAATGCAGGCTGCATCTTCACCAAGGAGGTGCACATGGGGATTGAGAATCGTCGTATTGATGGCCTTGCAGTTTTTCCCCAGAACTACTTTTAAATGAGAAATAAAAGAAACCGTTAGATTGATTTATTATTTTTGTTTTCTATACAAGAAAGCTTTTTTTGTAACACATTCGAGAAGAGTAGAATAAAAAACAAATATATTAGAGCTGTGCAAGTTTTTAAAATTCGAACCGCTCCATAAGAATTAACATGGGTTCGAATCGAATATTCGATCCGAGCCAATACAAAATTCGAACTTTTGCACAGCTCTAAAATATATATATATATATAAATATATATATATATATATATATATATATATATATATAAACAATCAGCAGTTGCTTTGATATGAAAAAAACGCAAAAAGACAGCGGAATAATTGAAAAACTTATGTGCGAGCAAGTTAATGAAAAAAGTTTTTTTTTTTTTTTTGAAAAAAGTTTATAAACGAACGTGTAGAAAAGTGATTTTAATTACAATAAAAAGCGAAGAAAAGTGATAAGAAGTTGTGAGTCGAAATTGATGAGATTTTCTTTTTCCTCTTTTATTATATAAAGATATTTTTGCAAAAATTAAAATTTAACTTTACAATGAAAATTTAATTTTTTTTTAATCACTAATATTATTTTTAAATTACAAAATATTATAATATTATAGTGTCATATTATAATATTATAATATATAAATTATTATATTATAATTTTTTTATTTTTATTTTATAATTATATGATTGAAAGTATGATTTTTTTTTTTTGATAAACATTAATGTTGGATCAATTGTTAATGGAAAAAAAAGTGAAGAATATTAATTTAATAGAGGAAATTTTTTAGTTCTATACAAAATTCACATGCTAGAATTTTTAATAAGCAAGGATAGCAAAGGGTTAAAAAGAAAACTTAAAAGAGCGTGAGGGTATTTTATTTGCGATAACAGTGTGTATGCAAATGAGGTATAATTACCATTATCAAAGTAAAACTTGTGAAACTCCATTCCCTCGACTAAATTACCTAGAGCCTCTGGCTCGAATGCCGTCAGGTGAGGATCACAGATTTTTCTGAATCGCAAAAGATACATTATGATTATTGATAAAATAGCAAATAACGCAAATAATTAAATAACTTAAATTTAATTGAATTTTTCGTTTTGATATTATTTTTATTGTCATTTGTTAATACTTTATCCATTTATTAAATTACAGTCACTATTTGCACTTTAAAAAAAATTTTTTTTTTATTAAAATTGGAACCAATAAAAAATACAATAAATGTATTAATTGTACTCTTTTTGAAATTATATATTTTGAAAATAATTAAAAAATAAGAATTTTCCTCATAAAATGAAAAAAATAAAAATCAATGCATTAATTCTTACTAAAAAAAAAGAAAACAAAAAAATGAACAACATTTTTTTGAAAAATAATTTTTTTCGATATTAATTGCAATATAATGTTATCTTGAAGTTGCGTGCAACATAATACTGAATATGTATTTCGGATTATGTTTGCATGCAACTTTAAAATAGCATTATATTGTAATTAATATTTTAAAAAAAATTTTTTATTAATTACACTTCTTTCCCAATAAGAATTATAATGCATTGACGTTTACATTAACATTTTATGAGCTGGATGTGACAAATCAAATTATTTAACTATAAATTATTTACAGTATCTTTTATTATTTTTTTTACCAGAAATAATAATTGTTTATATCCTCAGTTTATTTTTTTCTACAATTTCTAATTTTTTTTAAAGATTTATTAATAATATTTTATTTATTTATTTCAATAATAATTTTCTCAATAATTCGTCTTCATTATTCTCATAATGTATCGTATGCCCTTAGCAAAATTTAACACTTCTGTGAAATTATAAATTTTTAATTGCTTGTGAAAAACTTTTAATTAGAATAATAAACCATTTGGTACATTTATAAGTGGAAGAGTAAATTGTAATCTTAACTTATAAGTTGATCGAAAAAATTTTCTTTTCATATAAAGTAGATATAATATTTTTATTGTGAGAATGGAACATGTGCGCTACCTATGAGCCATCAGTCGAAATTGGATGTAGGGGATTTCCCTAATTCTGAGAGAAAGTAGAAAATTTCAACTACGCATGCTTAACAGTTGCTTAATTGGTTGAAATAACCCGCGAATATTTGAAATTAATTTTCAAAAAAATATTTTAATTTCTATTATAATTTTATTTTTCTATCTAAATCATTTTTAAGATGCGATAAACATTTATCATTACTATTTATTACAATTCTATAGACCAGGATGATTTTCATGTTCCGGATCACCTAAAAATTTTTTTTTTATATAATTTTTTTTTTTGGCTTTTTAAACAAAAATAATGGAATCAAAAAAAAATTTAGAGGATCCGGAATATAAAAATTACCCTGTATGAAATAATAATTCAGTACAATATAATTATAATTATTATTATAATAAAAAATTATAATAATTTCTAATAATATTATTCAATTTTTAAATCACAGGTAGCGCACATCTTTCACACTCAAAATTAAAATACACCTTTTTTATTATAAAGAAAAAAAAATATTTAACAAGTTCTAGAAAAAAAATATACCAAATTTTTTAGAACACAATGATTATTCCATAAAAGTTCTAAGTTAGAATTTTCATTCTAAAAAAATTTTATTAGACAGAATTTTCTTTTTGGACAAATTTTCATTTTTCAAATTAGCATCTGACTGAATTCTTTTTTAAACGAATTTTTATTTGATGGAATTTTCATTTAACTGAATTTCTTTTTATCCAACTTTTTATTTAAAAAGAAATAAAGTTTAACCGAATTTTAACATAAAATAATTCTCATTCAATAGAATTTTTCTGATTCGAATTTTTAAATGCCAGATTTTTCAATTCACCGAAACTTCTTTTGTTCGACTTTCACTTTGCATAAATTATTTTTTTTTTACTATTTACCAGAATTCTTAAAACGCCGAATTTTTATTTGACCGAAATTACAAATGTCCAAACAAAGATTTCGGCCGGATTTTTAAAATTGACCAATCAGAAATTTTCACAAAACTTGTAATTGGACAATTTTAAAATTTAAAAATTGCGCCGAAATTTTTTTGTTGGTTGTTTGATCGGTCACTTGCAATTTCGGTCAAATAAAAATTCGTCGTTTTAAGAATTCTGTCAAAAAACAAAAAAAAAAAAAATAATTTGTACAAATAAAAAGTCGAACACATAAAATTCTATTGAATAAGAATTATTTCATGTTAAAATTCAGTTTATGATTTTTGATACAAATTTTTAAATAAATATGTAAAAAAAAAAATTCGTTAAAAATTCTGAAAAAGTAAAAATTTGTTCGCAAAGAAATTCACTCAAATGCTAATTCGAAAAATGAAAATTCATAAATAAAATTTTTGTCTAATAAAATTATATAAAAATTCTAACTAATGACTTTTATGGAATAATCATGAGCCCCAATTTTTTAAAAATCTGATTTAATAATTCTTTGACATTCAATAAAATTTCTTTTAATTTACTATAATTTTATTCATTATTATTAATTCTTTACTTACTATACTATTAATTACTTAATTAAAATTTAATTAAAATAATAAATTAATTTAATAATCACTTACGTGTACGCCTCGTAATCACCAGTATTGATGCTCTCAATCAGTTGTTCAGTCATCTTGATGATTTCTTGACGGCGAGCTGTAATTGTCAACACATCAGAATCAGTAACAAGTTCAATTTGTTCAGAGGGCTCATTGGGTTCATTTCGAAACATCGCACAGCACAACAGCCACATGCACGAATCTTTAATACCTACTTCCTAATCGAGTAATTCGATAAAAAAAATTTTTTTTTTTCTTTATCTTATCAAAATCATAAAAATTGACCGATAATTTTAATTCATTATTTTTTTTCTCAAGTTGACCTAACAGATATGAATTTTCCCATTAAAAAAAAGAATTATTTTCCAATTTTTTCAATTCCGTTTCTTATATTCGATTTTTAGAATTTTTTTTTCAAACTCGAAACAAATCGGCAATAATTTTTATAGCGAACACGTAAAAATAATAATAATTCAAAATTTGAATAGTTCAATTATTATTTTTAGCCCCTTTGGAGTTAATTTAGAAACTAGCAAAAAATACATTGTTTCTAAATTCTAAATAGATTTTCAAGGACTTATATTTTGTGTTTAATTAATAATGTATTTTTTTTTTAATAATGACGATAATAATATACTCCAAAATTTTAATTTTGCGCAAAAAATTATTTCCCAAGGGTAAGTGAAATTTTCTAATCGAGTGTTACTTTAAAAAAAAAAAAAAATAATAAACAAATTATCAATTGATAAAAAAATTGAATTTAATCAAAAAAACATCAATTAAAAAAAATCAATCACAATTATTAATAACAAATTTTTTAAGTTTTTAAAAACTTTTTCGTTTCAATAATATATTTTTAAGTTGAACATTAATATTTATGTATGTTCACGTAGGAACGATAATTTCTTTCTGCCTTTGCATATATTTTTTCGCACTAACGTTTTTTTTTTTTTTTTTTTTTGATAAGAAATCATTCTTTTCTTGTTACTAACAAAAATTGATCATATGATGAAAAATAAAAAATTATTTTCAATCGAAATTTCACTTAATATAATTTTTCAAATAAATTCAATTTTTCCCTTCTTTTTAAAATTGGAATTCTCTATCAAATAAAAAATATTTTAAATATAGTTTTTTTAAAAAATAAAATAATATTTTTCTACCCCTTACCCTTAAAAATTGAATTAAAATTATTAGATCAATAAATTTTCACTTTTCGTAATTTCATATAAAAAAAAAAGAAATTTAGAAATAAAAATAATCATCATTTTTTCAATTCACTAACGTCCATCCATTTCATATTGAGGGTTGTTGACACTATTAATTATTATAAATATCAATTTTTCACTGTATATATAAAAAAATGCCGTGTGATAATTTTTTTTTTTTTTAAATTAAAATTTCAATCATAAGTGTACATATTATAATTATGTCGAAATATCAACGTGAATAGTGTGACCACCACCATTTTTTCTAACACCACTTTCAATTTTTTATAACCACTATAGTTTTTTTTTTTTTTTTTTCTTTTTGTTTTCTCTTCAGAGTTTAAATGTTTGTTTGCCTGATCGTAAAACTTGCTGATTGGTTATAGATAGATATTCGTACATATAACGTCCATGGCAACTCTAATAGGCAACGCTATCAAAACCGGTCGTTAATTTCCTATCAACTATTGGCCAAGTTGACCCGATTTTCAATTACCAATTCTCATGCAAACATATCGAGATCAACAAATTTTTTTCCATACACATCAATATTAATTTAATTCTTTTTTTTAAATTTCAAATAATTAAAAATTGATTTTTTCAAATTACCAAAAATAAAATTTACATTTAATTTTTTTTTAATTTCAAAAATTATTTTTCAATTACTAAAAAAAAATTTTACATTTTATTTATTATTTAAAAAAAAATTAATTTTACTTTTTAGAAATCACATTAATTAAATGTTGTATTATTAATTTTATCGTTTATTAAAAAAATTTTTTTAAACATACGTAATAATTGAATTAAAAAGGATAAATTATTCAATTTAAAGGGAAATTTGTGTGGTTTTTTTTAATTTATAGAAATGAGTTTTTAGATTGATTTTAATTGATATTTGCAGAAATATATTGTTGAGTTATTTGTTTTTTTTTTCATTTAGAATGTCGCAATTACCTGAGCTCTGCGAATTCGTTGAAAGCTGACTGCAGGTCTTGATAGGACAGACGACTCTTAAGTCTACAAGCATATTACCTTTTTTAATTAAACGCGCAAACTATAATTTTTTTTTTATTTAAATTTTACAACACTCGGAAAAGCAGTGCCAAATCACCATGAGGATTACGATGTTAAAAAAAATTTAGTAACTGTAGCTTCATTTTAATTTCAAAAATTTATTTTATGAAAAAAAAATGCAACATGTTTTGTGTTTAATTTACTTTTCAATTAAAGAATATTAATATTAATTAAATTTATATTATTATAATTTTTATTAATATTATTTTCTATTAATTATAATATTAATAATAAATTAATATTATTTAATTTAACTATTAATATTAATTATTATTTGTTTATTAATATTTAATTAATAATTAAGTAACATTATTTTACTATCGTTTAGATAAAAAAAATTCATTATTTAAACACGAGAAAATTTAAATAAAAAATAAATTTTTTTAAAAACTTTGATTGGAATAGTTTTTTTTCCTTTTGAAGTTGAGAACGCTGCGCGCGATGCTTTTAATGGGAGGGGATAATGCGCGATCACCAATCATAACGCATAACTCACACTCCCCACCTGCAGTGCAGTCAGTGTTCTCAACTTTATCGATCGTTATCCTCATGGTCCATTGTGCTGAAAAATCGCTGACGATTGACTATCTCTCTCTCTCTCTCTCTCTTTTTATTATCACCTCTTTTTGCAATTTCCCGTTTTTATTATTTTCCATTTGAGACGCTTTAAATGCTGGCACTCCATTGAAAAAAAAAAAATTATACTAAAATTTTTATCTCTTTTTTCTTAATATCGTTTAAATTATGTTTTTTTATATGGGCAAATCCACAGAACCGGCCGATTTCATGTTACTCACATATTTTTCTATTTTAGAAGTATTATATTAATTATTTTCATACTTCAACCATTTTGTAATATCTCTGAGAACCTATTGAAATAAGAAAATTGAATAAATGTGAACCTTCTAGTCTTTTATAAAAAATAAAATCGAATTAAGTAACTTAAAAATGAAATTTACGGTGTTACTTCAGGTATAAATTTTAATTCTTATAGGTATAACTTGTTCGGCATAGATCCGAACAATTCCAAACTGTGGTGAATTATAGTTTACTTATTGAAGAATGTTTTGAAAGTAATAAAAAATATGTGCTTTTAAATAAAAAGAAATGATAGTCGTTGAAAGTAGCGTTACTCATTATTTTATAATAATGAAATGTCTATACATTTTTGTAAATATATTTTGCGGCGATTATTCGATTTGAATTTTTCAAATTGGAGCTTATTGCTTGTGAACAGACGAACAAATGTATGTATCATAGAATAGAGTGCAATCAGAATTAAAGAAAATATTCCAATAATTATCACTCTATGTTTAAGCGTGAACCATTTTCAACATAGCCTTTTTTCAGTGGCACAACTACAGAATAAAATATGATGAGTTGAAAACATGTGTGATTATATAAAGACATTATTATAATTCTTGTATGCAAACGCCAAATTATATTTTCAATTTATAACGTCTAAAAATTAAAAATAAAAAAAAATTTATCGAAATTTAACTAGTTAATCGTGAAAAATGAATTATCCTTTCATTTGTTTTATTTTCAAAGTTATATCAAAATCGATGTCAATAATGTCAGTTTGTTGGTTAAAATAGTTAATATCAAAATTAGTAAGTAAACAATTTAATTTACAGAAATAAAAAATTAAATGCTAATAAATAAAATATATAATAAAATATGATAAAATATAAATAATTTATTTTTGATAATTAAAAAATTAATTATTTGTATTTTATCATATTTTATTATTCAAAATGTTTTGCACATATTTCAAATAATATATAAAAAAAACAAAGAAATGCCATTTTTAATTATAATTTCCAGAAGAAAAATAATATTTTCGTTTTTGGCTTTTAACTCAAACGGCATTAAAATAAAATGAATCACGCAAGAAGATAATTATTCTTGAATATATTTTAAAGAAAGTAAACCATAAATAAAAGGTGTGCTTGCTATTTGGAAAATTTTCATCTTGATAAGTAAAAATCGGCCGGTTCTGTGGATTTGCCCATATCCTTATTTATTTATTTTCATTATTTTACCCCTTATAATAATTATTATCATCATTATTTTTTTTATAAATATTCATATTTAATTGTAAAATTTATTATTGCTTTTATTTATTTGTTCGCAGTTTTTTTTTCTCACATTCGGATAATTTCTCGAATATTCGGTAATAATTTTGGGATCCGAAAAAATATTTTTTTCCACCATTATTATTTTATTATAATTATTATTATAAAATATTAATATTATTACTATAATTAATTCTTATTATTTTATAATAATAATAATTAAATACGAGAAAATTGGAATATTTCTCGTAAATTATATTGTGTTTTTGTTGTACTATATATGAATGGAAGGTAAACTTTCCATTCAACAAAAGGGTCTTATAATCTAAAACGTGGATTTCCCCATAGAGCATAAAATGATAGTTTCAAACTTTGTTAATATACGTAAATTCGTTACGAGTGTGTAACAACACACTTACTGGGAATAGTTATAAAAAAAAAAATTTTTTAAAAATATAAAAACTCTCTAAAATAAATTATATACAAAATCATAAATCTTAATTAAAAAAATAAAATAAATACAAATATCTAAAACTATTTTCTACTGTTAAATTTTCTATACTTATGTACATTGTGAACAAGTGCTTAAACAATTAACAGTGAATTTACATATTATGTACAAAAATAGAAATTTATATTTTTTCTTTTTATTTTATTAGCTTTATTAATGTCTACTATTTTATAATATGCATCTAGCTTAAAAAATGTCTACAAAGCCCACAAGTTTTATTAATAATATTTATTAACAAATTTTTTTACCTATATTATTTCACCTGTTTTTTTTATAAAGAATTTGTGTATTTACATAATTATGTGTATAATAATTAATTGGCTGAAAATAATTACGATAATTTTTTTTTTGTCATGGATAAATAAGGGCAATTATTTTTTTTACAAAAGTAATTTCTTGTTTTTTTTTTTATATAATATAAAGAAGATATTCTATTGATTTGTTATTCGATAAAATAATAATTAATATTATTATAATAATAATACTATTAATTATTGTATTTTAAATTAAAAAATTATATGGTGAAAAAACCAAGAAATTTTTTTCTAGAATCTTTTGTTTTAAATATTATCTGCTGTACACTGAGAAAAATATGCTATTGAATCAACAGTATTTCTTTCAAAGGCATAAAAATTATTGATTCCAAAGCATATGCTATAGAATTTATAAAATATTGTATAGATTTTATAGCATATGCTTTTGGATCAATAATTTTTATACTTTTGGCAGAAATGCTGTTGATTCAATAGCATATTTTTTTCAGTGTAGAAGAAACATTGATTTTCTTTATTTAAATAGTAAATAAAAATAAAATTTGTTTTTTTTTTTTAATTTTTCCGATGAGAAAAAATTTTATTTTTATTCTGTGAAAGAAATTTTCTTACTCTAGCAATAAATTATTGTGCAAAGCGTGTAAAATAGATCATTGCTTTGTGTTATTATATTATCTTTTTTCTTTTTTTACTAATAATTATTGCATATTTCTGATATATATTTCATTTACATATACATATGTACAAATTGTTTTGTTGCAGTGTTCGCTTGCAAGGTCCCCTCTTGATTATTATTTTCATAATTGACACTTGTAATTTCATTGTTATATATTCATTCCGAATATATTATTTATTGAATAATATAATAGGTATTGTTATTTTTAAAAAATTTATTTTCCAATATATCCAATATTTATTGAAAGTGGTTATTATTTCATTTATAATTTTTTTTTATTATTCTACTTATTTTCATTTATTCGTTATTAACCAGAATTAAAAAATTTTTGTTTGAAATCATTTTATTAATAATTAATATTGATAATGTAATTAATAATAATATAAATAATAATTTTATTAATAATAAACATTAAGAATATAATTAATAATAATATAAATAATTTATATTATTAATTTATAATTGGTTGGACCCATTTTCAAAATCTGATGCCAAATTTGTAATCAGCGACACCAAAAACTCATAAGATAAATCTGATGATGAAAAAAATTAATCAATTGAATTCATTTTTAATTTTAAAAATCTGATTTTGGATTCGTAATTATCGACCCCAAAAACTCTCAGGAAACAAGTTTCAGATAAATCTATTAGATTTTTTTTAAATCTTCCGCCATTTTGAATTATGGAAACTGATCATTAGGGTACGGTCACAATATCTCATGCATGCACTGTGCATGCATGCAGAAACATTTGTCCGGTCACACTTCAACGAAATCTAGTGAATGTTTAGTAACTTTCTAGTAATTTTCCAAAATTTTCGATTGTAACTAGAAAGTTACTAAACATTTACTAGATTTTGTTGAAGTGTGACCGGCCAAATGTTTCTGCATGCATGCACAATGCATGCATGAGATAGTGTGAACGTACCCTTATTAGACTAAAAAAATCATAGTAACAAATTTCAGGTAAATGATTTCAAAAAAAATTCCCTAGAAACGGAAATTGATGTCAATTTTTATAACTCTAGGGCGAGCTGCATAGTTTGGTTCAAATTTTTTTTTCAAAAGTATTCTAAATTTCTTTTAAAAAAATTTTTTTTTTAATTCAAAAAATTCAGACATTTTATCAAAAGTTTTCTGCAAGAATTTCTTTTAATGAAATATTTGAACAGTATTAATTCAAATTTAATGATCAATTAATAATTTTTGGAATTGAGTAGACAAGTTTGGAATGTCAATTATTCGATCCGATAAATAAATAGGTCGTCGTATTGTTATTATTATATATATATATATATATATATATATATATATATATATATATATACATTCTAGGATAATCGATCGGTAAGGGGGAACCTTGCATTTCAATAATGTCATATTGTTGCATTGTATATTTGATAAAAGAGACGAATATGTGTGTCTCTCTTATGACAAACTACATCGTCTAAGCTTCAAGCAAGCATCTTTGTTCTTTGAGCTTGCATTGGAATTTCCACCTTTACCACTTCCATCACCATTATTGTTTCCATCACCACCACTACCACTATCACCCTTACCGTCATCTCCATCGCAGACATCATTTTCAAGTTGTACTCCTGCACCTGGACGTCGTTCTTCAGGTTCTGATGGTACATGCAACGTGCAAGCAAAAAAATTCCACAAACATAGGAACACATTTAAGCATGCAAATAACATTTCAAAAATTTGTCACTGACACATTTTAGTATTATTAATATATTATATTTAAATATATTAATTTAATAAATGTTAAATATATTAATTTTATAATTATTAAATGTATTAATTTCATCATTCTTAATTATTATTTCTTATAAAATTAAGAAACGGAGACTATAGTAAATTGCTTGAAGGAAAAAAATTTTTGATCCGAAAATACGGGAGATTATCGTTCCCACTACTGCTTCACATAATGCTAAATTTCACGTATGGGGACAACTAAATTCCACACTGAGAAAAATATGCTATTGAATTAACAGCATTTCTGCCAAAGGTATAAAAATTATTGATTCAAAAGCATATGCTATAAAATTTGTTAAATATTTTATAGATTCTATAGCATATGCTTTTGAATTAATAATTTTTATACCTTTGGCAGAAATGCTATTGATTCAATTGCATATTTTTCTCAGTGCACGTTTTCGGATCACCTTTTAATACCGTATTTCTCTATCTCTTTTGTATGGAAAAATTTAATTAACATCCGCGTTTGGAATTGTTGTTTTTTTTTTATTAGAAATTATTGGTAGGGATTGTGCAACAACTATTAAAAAACACAACATTCTTTGAACTATGATAAATTCAGCCAAAAAACGAGATAGGGAATTAGAAAATTTATGTAGATAAATATTTTTTTGACCCCTGAAAGATTTTATAGATGCAACACATTGATAAAATGCTTATTCACTTGCCAATGAAATATAATTCTAACTTGGGACCCAGGCTACTTCGTTGTATTTTGCATTCATACACTGAAAGACTTTTTGTTTCAAAAATTAATATAATTTGTTTTAAAATGAAGAAAACTCTGTTTTTATACTATTTAGTCATATGAACGTACTAGTTTCTGACCAGATAATACTGAAAATTAGTATGGACCATATTAATTTTTGATATTATTTGGTTAGAATGATATGTTCTATGAGTTCATATGATTAAATAGTACTAAAACAGTTTTCCTCATTTTGAAACAAATTATATTAATTTTTTAAACAAAAAATCTTTCAGCGTATTCTGTATTGAAAATACTATCCAACACTGAGAGAAGTTAAATACAGATTTCGTACTAAACACACGTTCAGATAGTGTACCTAACCTTTCGAGCAACATCGGTTCTAAATTGTATCACAGCTGCGCTTTTCGGTGGACAGATACTGTACTAAATCGTTTGTCCTACAAGTTAGATCAGAATCAGTACTCAATTGGCGCTGCTGCTGTTCAATTTTAGTATTGCGTCGGCACATGATTGAGGTACAATATCTGTCCCTCAAAAAATGCAGATGTTGCGTTAAACTTCTCTCAGTGAAGGTATATCGTAAACGGAGGCTCTGTGCTACTAGATTACATCTCAGTAGTAATCAGTCTTATCCGTGAAATTGGAGTTTCTGAAAGCGGCATTTAGTTCTTCAATACTCATGGAATCTTTATGAAATTACAATAAAAACGAACAAAAAGCTGAAGCAACTGTTTCCCTAACTTTCTCAGGTGGTGGCGAAATCCACTTGAGTAATGTGACTGAAACTTTGTCGAATCATTAAATGAGAATTCTTTTCCATCAAATAGACAAAAATAGGTTCTACTAATTTAGTAGCCTTATATTTTCCCAGTAAGAATTACAATATTCTCTTTCTTTGAAAATTCAGACAGCCCAGTCTGATCACAACATCTGTAAACAACACCTAGAACCGTTTCCATTAGTACCAAAAGTGTCCCAATCCAGAACACAGTTACAATTATTAAGAAATTATTAGGCATAATATTTGTTACAATATTTCTGCTCATCCAGTTTCCATAACTGTTGGAAAATTAGAAATTAATGTTACGATGATTTACTGATTATTATAAGAAGATGGAGACATAATACGAATGGCTCTAGAGATTTTTAAGAGGTGGTGTGATGAAACTGAGCAAAATTGCCAAATTTTTGGTTCCAAATGAAAATCCAACAAAAATAAAGGACATCGAAATAACTTGCAGACACTTTTGTTCTCTTACAAATGAATGCGGTTGGGTAGATGGTCAAATTGTAGATGTGTTTGTATAATGCAAACAAAAATCAATGTATCATTCTTCCTAGAAGACGATACAAAAATAGCCTTAGAAGACTATGGAATCAAAAGGTGCATCACAATAAATATTGGCTTACATAAATTAAATAAACCAATAAAAGAAATAATGTAAATGCCTCATTGTTTTGGCTGTCACTGGCGTATGTTAGTTATTAATTCTAAAACGTAAATAATAAACTTTATTGATCCGTATCAAATTACTAATGTGAAGGCTTCTGATATGAGCAGAGTGCTCGAAGAATTGGAGACGTTCCTAATAAATTGTGACAGAAAATCTGCATTCATAGAGAAACATTAAAAGGACAATAGAACTGTACGAAATAGTACATCCATATCAAAAAACAAAAACAAAAGGTATTAATTTAATACCAACTTTAAGTACTAAATTGTTATTTGGTTCTATTTTGACACCTAAAATCGGTACAATTTTAGTACTTTCTTTTTAGTATCTAATGACGGTAACCACTGTGGAGGGTTCACCATATATCACATGGATATTTTTGGAAGTAATAAAGAAATGGATATGACATTTGTTCCACAGCAATTTCGACGAACAGTAGCGCAGGCCATAATAAACGTCGAAATCGATATCTTCAATTTCGTGTATTGTTTGTTGTCAGTTAAAGAGAAGATAATTACGCTATGTCCGAGACTATGTCAATGTTGCCAGGGAAGAATTCATAAAAATTGTAAATATAAAGGGGAAATAAACAGCGACTTTGAGGATGAAAAAGATCATGTACCAGACAAAAAAAAGGAAATCAATGAGTACATCTCCATACACATGTAAGTTGTGCACGAGGTTTTTGAAACTTTTTAAAACCATTCTAAATATTATTACAAGAGGGGTTTTTTATATGACAACTCTAAAATTTATTACACCATGTAACTTATTTCGTTAGGAAAAATTTAGGATCTTTTTTAATTGTATCATACTGAAACCTAACGCAGTTGGTACTTTAAGCTTTGTTATATTTTTACAAAATTTTAATTGAAAATATTAATATAGTTTTTGTGGGAATTTTTATTCTCTTCAACGTAAAGGGATTGAAGAGCGTTATAGAGTACAGCCATAATTTCGGATTGTATAACAGTAGCGTTGGACCCTTAACAATATGTGATTCATCTTAGTTCCTCTGTTGGGGTTAAAACTCAACAGAAACTTTGCAGATGATTTTTTATGTTAAGACTTGACCCTAACAGATTGGTAACCTATATTCTAGAAGAGATTTTAGATTCCTAAAGAAGTCTTTAAATAGGTTAAAAATTTGTGGATTCACAGAGAGGCAAGTACAATATGTTATTAAGGTGCCAACTGTCTTTCTACGGAAGCCACGATTATAATCAACTCAGAATGCATTATCAGATGATGTAATCTTAGTAAAGAATTAATTATTATCCGCTTATTTTATCGGATATTAGAACCAAAATTAAAATTCAATGGTTTTTTGGTTTAACTCCTCTCCTCCCAATTGTATATTTGACCCACTGGAAAGTAAAACGCAACACATAAACTTCTGACTCTCATTTAATTAGCATGCAGGTCAAAATTTTATGTGTGGTTTTACTTTCCAGAGGCTCATACAATAGAGCTTTAAATACTGCTGCATTTTTTTGATAGTTTTTGCACTAAAAAATGAGTACCAACAATAATTTCATACTAAATCAATAATTGAGGAATCGCATTCGATAAGTGGTTCAAAACTATATTAGTTATAATCACTTATGGAATGCGGATCCTCAATTAAGGAAAATAAAAATGTCAGTGACAAACAGGACATTAGAAAACAGAATAAATAAAACTACAGACCGGTGCCAGAGGAGCTCTGTCGTCTTGAGTTGTTGTTGTTGGCGTTGAGGTAGACCGTAGAGGCTGATGAAGGTGAAACACCAGTTTGACTGTTCTGGCTGTTGCTGCTACTGCTGTGGCTGGAGCCACTGCCACTGCCATTGCCAGCTAGTCATGCAACCAACCAATCCACATAATGGGTATTCGTCAACGCCCATCGTTAAGGCCGAACGTTTCGAGTCTTCTCTTTTATAATTTTCATTATTCTTTTTCTTTTTCAAAAATTTTTACAAAATTTCTTTTAACTTTACCCTTCTTTAAATATCAGAATTCGAACGTTCGCCATCAATTCGAGAACGTTGACGTGCGACGCTCTGATTTAATAATCATCTGATTTATCTTCTTTTTTTTAGTAAAAATACATTTAGTGGAATTTATTCCATTCAGTATTAATTGTTTTGCGACACTATCTAAAAATTCTGCTTTTTTGACAAATAGAAAAACGAATAAGCGCAATTAGAAAATTTTTGAAACATTAATCCTTAATTAATTTTCAAAATGAAACTTTTCATAATAAAAGTTACTTCTATTAAATTTTAGAAAGTGTCGTCGTAAATTCATATTTGAATCACTCGAATTCTAAAAGCTATAAAAAACATTATTAGTTCAAACTAGAAAGAAAGGGCTAATAACATTCCAAAAAGCTTAAAATCCAAAAAATCCATTCACATTCTAGGAGATGTTCAGAGAAACAAAATTTCCATCTTTTAGAAATAAAAATCATCTTAATTCAGTTTTATTTAATAGAACTAATCAACATTTAAAGAATTTTTTTTTTTTAATTTGAAATTAAGACAATTTTTTTTCTCTGACACTGAAAAAATTTTCGTGCAGCAGCTGTACCAATTGAAAAATTTCTATATTGAGTTAACTTCACTGATACATGGAAAAAAAGATTTACCTGGAACAGCGAAACATTTTACTAAAGTAGCAAAAGTTTTACTTGCTTTAATTAAATCTTTCGCTATTCTAGTAAAACCTTTCGCTGTTTCAGGTTGATATTTTTTTCCGTGTATAAAACTCATGAAGTTTATTGAATATAGAAATTTTTCGTTTGCTGAAACAAAATTTTTTCAGTGTGGATGTAGTTTTATTGTGGTTTTTGATGACTGTGAGGGGAGTATTATGTTGAATTATGATTTTGAAAAAAAAAATCATGAGTGCGCACGTCAACCTACTCTATTGTGCAGGGTGTGATAATAATAATAATAATATGACAAGGAACAATTATTTGATTGTGATACGATTTCAAAAATGACGAAATTTCAATGTTTTATGATTTGAGTCTGAATTAGTGTCATTTTAGTGAGTGTATTTTTAATATTGAAAAAGAGGTTAAGAAGATTGCGCGCGCTGCATGTGCAGAGCGGGGGTAATGTGTGATGATCAGTTCTCGCGCTCAATCCCCACTCTTTGAAAACAGCGAGCGCAATATTCTTAACTAAACGACGCTAATTCGTGCTCTACTTTTGATTTTAATGGAAATATAAATGAAAATGAAATTTCATTAAATTCTTTGTATTCATTATATAATGAATAAAATATTAAATCATATATAACGAAATAATATGACAATATTTTTAAATATCATTTTGATCACTATATAATTTTTTTTTATACATATGTTTATGTAAAACAATTTGCATTTAAATAATATATGTAAATAAATTAATACAGTATCACAACAATTAAAAATAATAATGTGGCGATCCATGAGAGAAGAAATCTTACGACAAAAAATTTTTAGGTTATGTTTAGTTATAGTTTTACCTTGATAAAAAATTTCTTTTTAATTAGATAAAACTATCACTAAACATAACCTAAAATTTTTTTCACATAAGGTCCCTTTTCTCGTGGAACGTTACATATTATTTTTAAAAACTATATTTTAATTGTTGTTTTTTTTTACTAAATTCAGTCTCAATGTTTTGTTAAACAAAAGTTCAATTCTTTGCATGGTTAATTTTAATAAAAAGTTTTTTATAAATACAGTCTTATTAACAAAAAAAGGAATAATTAACAAATCACAGAAATTTTCTCACGTAAATAATAATTAAATTAAATAAACTTTCAGTTTCCAATTCGAATAACATTTAAATAAATAAAATTTTTATAAATGGCAAAATTAGTAATTAAAATTTTAATTTATGACAAATGACTTGGGATTAAGGGGAAAATAGGGGGGGGGCGGGGGTTAATGAGTATAATTATCAAGGGGTTAAAAAATCAATCAGTGTGAGTATTATAATTATATGAGTGAATATTGAAAAAAAATCATGCTCATAATATATCAAGAAAAGGCTGTAAAATCAGTAGGCAAATCTTACCGATTTGTGGAATCTCGCTTGATGCGTTGAATATTCAAACTTTTTCTCTTGAGAAGAATCTAAGTACCTTAATTTTAACAAATCATTGATTCATTTGTTTCTTTAATCTTCAATTTATTGACCTATTTTTGTAAAAGTATTTTTAAAAATATTTATAAAAAAATTTTTAAAAAATACTTCACATTTTTTTAATTTATACATATACTTTACAAAGAAAATCAATAGTGAAATAATAATTTGTTGTATATAATTTTTAATATTAAAAATGGTTTTATAAAAAAAATCAAACAAAAAAATTTTTTTTTTATTTAACTGTTAAAATTATAAATTGATCATTTAATTATTCATGTTATATTTTGAAAATAATTTCAATGATCATTTTATGGAATATAGAATTTTAAAAATATTTATAGACATTTTTTATAGCTTTACACATTTGGGTGGTAATTGTAAATATTTAAGAAATATTTTCCATACACTTGTAAACGATAATTAAAATGAAAATAATAAATTCAATATTGTAGTCAGGATATTTTGACGTGGTTCCAAGATAAATTGTAATTAACCTTAGCCTAAAAATTTATTTTCGTTTATAGTCAACAATGTTTTATTGGAACATTTTCAAAGCATTTGCGGTTTTTTTTTTTTTTTTTGGCGAATAATAAATTTTTTAAGCAAAATAAAAGCAATTTTTGATAAGCAAAAATTGGACTTATTAATAAAAACGATAAAAAAAAGAAAATTGTTGTTACGTTTATTTTTGAATTTTTAATAAAATGCTGCTTTTTCTGCGCCCTATATGATAATAAAATAAATTTTTATTTTTCCCTTTTTTTTTTGTTGGAGCCGATAACAATGCTTTTCTGACCTCAATTCATTAAATTTCAAGTAGTTGGTGACCCGTTTCAACTTTCATTTTGTCGGGAAACTGACTATATTCCATTGACAATGAGAAAAGCTGCGTCAAAATTTTATCACCCAAAGGGAGATAAAAATACATTCTCATGGTACACGTATTTTTCACACAACTTGTGAATTTTCCAAGCAAGCAAGCAAATATTTAAAAAAAAAAATTTTTTTTCATCTCACCAATAATTGAAAATTTTTAGTTTTTCATTCAATAAAATAAAAACACATGGTTACGGGATAAACATGGTTATTGTAGCATGAGGAAATATACAAATTGTTAAAGAGATAAAAAAAAACAATGAAGGGAAATAAATAATATTTTTTTGTATTTTCTGTGTAAAATTATAGAAAAAAAAATAATTTACTTTCTATGAATTTAAAAATAATTTAATAAACAACATTTTAAAAAATAAGATGAAAAAATATTTTTTAAAAATATATTTTTCCACTTTTTCATATATTTTAAAAATACCATTTCGAGATAGAAACTTGTTTCTGTACTTTATTCTTATATGCGCTTTTGTATCCTTACTTGGAATTCCATTTGAAACACTTAAAAAAAATTCCTTCACTGTCTATTCAAATCTTTGTCCCTTTTTTGCTTAAATCTCTTGAAGTAGAAGTTTTTAAGACTCCATTGCTTTTTATGAAAAGAAAAAAAAAGTTAACTTCATTCTTTATGCAATATTATTATTTTTTTCAAAATTACAAATTGTGACTTTTATGAAACTAATAATAATAATAATAATAATAATAATAATCCAAAGAATTAGTCGTCAAATGGTTGTAAATTTTTTTTTTGAAAATGCTCTGAATTTTTGCAAAAACAAAAATTTCAAACCTAATAATTTTTTTGAAATTCATTTTCGTCACAAAAAAATTAGAAAAAAAAAGATTTATGGAAGAATTAGACATAGAATCGGAACAAAAATTAGTACTACTGTGTATTTTTGTATTTTTAAAGAAATAGATGTTTTAAATTTTTAAAAAGCTACGCTGTAATTAATTGCATTTAAATCAAACTTAAAAGTTTTTATGCGTAGCAAACGATTTAGGTAACATAACCTAAAAATAATGTTTTTAGGTTATGTTACCTAAATCGCTTGCCTAAAAAAATTGTTTGCCATAACCTAAAAACATTATTTTTAGATTATGCACTGTAAAAAAATACCGAAAACGGGGCCTTATTTTATATACAGCGATATGTCTCCTTATACTACTTCGTGTTTCCTATCTATAAAAAATTTTAATTTTGGATTTCAATGAAATTTCTAATTATTTAAAATTTTTCAAATTAAATTATTTAAAATTTTACTGAAGCTTTTTCAAACTTTAAATCATCTTTTTCTTTAAAAAATAAAACAAAAATACACAATTGAAGTAACTTTTGCTCCGATTCTTTAACTGATTCTCCCATAAAATATTACATATGAAAAGTATTTTTTTTAATACCTGATAAATCCATTTAAAATTTTTTTTACAAACTTACTTCTATGCATAATTCAATGATAAAAATCATGTTTAAAAAAAATTTTCAAAAAATAATTTATCAGGATTTCAAAAATTGCTCCTCATATAAAAATAGGGGGAAAAAATCATCCATATTAGAATTGAAAACGCACAGCAAAAGTTATTAGTGAATTCAATGAGAAAAGTGAAAAAAAAAATGTTAAGAAACACGATTGGATCATTAGTGTCGCAAAATTTCTCTTTCTGAATAGAATTCGTAAGTAAAGAGATTTGGTGAACACAATGGAAACTCGTTGAAGCAACAAAAAAAATAAAAAAAAAAAAAAGAAAAAAGTCACGTGGAGAAAGCAGTAGTCATAAAATAAGAGGAAAAAAAGCAGACAAAAAATAAAAAACACGAGTCTCCTCGAATTGGTCGATATGTTCTCGAGGGTTCGTTTTTTTTCGAGGGACTTTTTTTTATAAGAGTCCTTTTTTACCTTGCGCGCCCTGTAGGAGAACCGCGGCAATTCCTAGGGGATTTCCCGAACCTGGGGCCTGCTTATTGCCCGTCGCTGGTACCATTACCCTGGAGAATACTGATGTGGCTGCAGGACTGTTCGGCGGTGTACCCTGCGAGGCGTAGCCTTTATTTTCATCATTTTGTTGTGCGCAAAGCCAACAAAATTAGAAATGAAAAGATAAAACAGAAGAAAAAATATTTTTTTTTAATTAAAAATTGTCAGAAAAATAAATTAAAAATTTCACAATATTACATCCAAGCACGAAGAGGCAAGCAAGTTTCATTGACCCCCAAAGATTGTTAGTTGTTAATTAAATAAAAGCATACCAAAAGAATTTAATTAATCTAGAAGTAAGTTAGTAAGTAAGTTAGTTATTATTATAGAATAATTTTTATTTATTTTTTTTTATTTTATTTAAATCGCTAATTATTAATTTATTTCGAGTGAACAGGAAATTCAATAAAAAAAAGCAATTAGATAAATTACGAGATTAAAATTCTATTAAATCAAAACTGGAAACTATAAATTTTTATTCCCAGGGATTGGTTTTATGGTTTTTTTTGAAATGGATTTTACAGAATATTCATATTGATGTAGATAAAGTAAATAAAATTGTAAACGTAATTGTAAAATTCTATTTTTAAATTTACCGCTCTTAATTATCTATTTTATCGACAGTTCATAGATTGGAAACTTAGTGGACAAATTTGCTAACATAAAGGTTGGTTTCCATTGTCTCCACTCGCCATTTGTCATAATTCTCGTTAACTATCGCACCCTGCTCTAGTAAAAATTTAGTAAATCTATAGTAACTTTTAATTTTAACTAAATTTTTTCTAGAGCAGGGTGTGGTAGTTTATGAGAATTATGATAAATGGCGATGGGACAATGGAAACCAACCTAAATTAAGATCATCTGGAATTTTGTCCAATTACTATTTGGAGAATTTGCCACAAAATTTGTCCACGAAGTTTTTCATCTATGAACTGTCGATAAAGTAGATTTTGAGCGGCAAATTTAAAGATAGAATTCTACAATTACGTTTTCAATTTAATTTACGTTATCTACATCGATATTTATAGATATTTCTCAAAATCTACTAAGAAAACATAAAATAAATATTCATATACTTCTTCTAGGGTTAAAAATGTTTTTCGCATCCTAGTTTAATCATTTTTTTGCCACATCATTTCTTTTTCTTTTTAATATTCCAGTTGATACAAATTATTATTATTAAACTAAAAATCATAAATAAATCACACCGTAATTTTCGTTTGATTTAAATGTCAAGCGTCGAATTAGTCTTAAAATATTAATGACCATAAAAATTGTTTTTAATAGATTAAATTTTTTTTTTATTGCTGTGCGAACATATTTTAAATGAATCATAAAATTATATGGGGATATAAAAATTGATTAAAATTATTATATATTCTAATTTTTTTTTATTTAAATTGATTTTAGAAAAAATATTGAAACTAAAAGTTTTAGTTATATTAAACCCCTAAATTTTCTCCTAATATAAATTTAGAAAGTGCAAGTAAACTTTTGACAGTGAATGCACTATTTTTGAACAGAAATGTGAGTTAATGCTCGTCTCGGTTAATTTTCTGCAGGACCGTCTGCTGTAATTCTGAATTTGAAATACGCGTAACCGATTTATTTTCGTCGGATTAAAATAGAATCAAGTCCGGTAGTCTATGACCGTGGCCCAAGTTGTTGATTATCAAGAGCATGTTTTATTTTTTTTGAATTATTTTATAAATGTTAACATTCTTGAAAGTGCAATTACAAATTTTAATTTACATTTTAATATTTCATTCTTCCACTCACAATTGTTATCAAGTTGCTTGGACGTTCCTGGCACCGACATTTTTTTAAATATTAATCAAAATTTTTTAATAATACCAGTAGAAAAAATTGTATTCTCAACGAAATTTCACATTTCTCATTGTCACTAATCAATTAATATATTTTTCAAATTAAAAAATTTCTCAACTAGTTGTAATGGTGCTAAAAAAAACATTTTACTCCCGTGTTTGATCACTGGAAAATTCACAAGTGTGGAAAATTTCCTTTTTTAGTTCCCTTGATGATTTAAGATCAAATTTTTGACTATTTTCTTTTTTTTTTATTTAATTTTTTCTGGGGAAAATGTGTTTAAAACTGCTTGCGAGGAAAACGATCGCGAACTGGATTCAATGCGATGTACTAATGCCAAGGCGAAACATGTATTTTCGTTGGCTGTTATAAGAGAGCTTAAAAACATCTCAAGTTGATCCACAATTTCCTCCCTCCATTCAGTAACGTAATTGAAAGTTAGAAGAATGTTTCACGAAAAAGTAAAGAAAAAAAAATTTTTTTCGAGCAAAAAGTATACTTTTAAAAATACAATTTAAAAAATAATTATATATTAATTGTATTTTTTAAATTTTACTAAAAAGTATTTTTAAAATTTAATCGTACACTTTAAAAAAAAAAATGTTGACATAAATATTCTTATTGTAACTAACAAAGTCACTCGAGCAGTCTTGAGCATTAATGACCAGCGATTGTAACGCCGCCTGATATTTATAGTCTACTGGGAAAGAGTGGGGGAACTTTTAGTCAAAGTGGGGAGCAAAGTTCCCAACAACTGTATTTAAAGGCAACTGCGCTTGCACAACAATAACTCTCTCATTGGCAAAAAATGGCACACTTACATAAAATGGTTAGTTATAAGAAAATGTTACCCTTCGCGTAAAATAATAATAATTATTATTATATTACTAATTTTATCATATTATTAATAATTTATTATTTATAACTATTATTATTATTACTCTACACTTAAGAAAAGAAAAATGAATACAGAGTAAAAAACATTATTATTAATCAAAAAAATAACCAATTGAATAGTCAAAATATTTTTATATTGTTTTCTTATCATTTTCTTATAATTATAATACGTAAAATATAAACTAAAAAAAAAAAATTTATTTATTTGAAATGATCGGTTACTTGACTATTATCAAATAAATATTTATTTGTATTAAATAATTATTATTTAAGTCAATTAAATTGTATTTGTTTTAAATACAGAAATTATTGATCCAAATACAATTTATTTAATTAAAAAATAAAAATTATTTGTTTCAAGTAAATATTTATTTGATAATAGTCAAGTAACCGTTTATTTGAATTAAATTAATTTTTTTTTCAGTGTAATATGTATTATATTATTATTATTATAAATCATTTCATATAAGCGCGGTTTTTCTTTGAGAGAGTTATTGCTGCGCAAGCGCAGTTGCGTTTAGAATTGGCAACTCTGTGCGCGCGCAGCAAGATAAGAGTGAGGATTATCCCCACTCTTTTCAAGCTGATTCGATTCTTTTGAATCAACATAACCTTAAAATCGGTGTAAATTATCTCACTGATGAAATAAAATTGAAAAATGGTTTCACTTTAAAAAGAATTTAAAGTTTAATGAAACATTTTCACATTTTATAACACAATTAAAGAGAATTTCAAAAAAAACACATTTTAAAATTTTAGAAAAACGATACAAAAATTTAAAAGCAATATTTTACATAATGGGTTTTTCAAAATTTTCTGTAATTTTACGTATAAAAATCGTAGTATAATTTTCATTAATAATAAACAAGTGTTAATAATATTAATTACAAGACACATATTTACAATGAATGGAGTGCATGATTTCCAATTTTTATTTATTTATTTTTGTTTGTTTTCAAACGAACATGGTGAAAGACAGTCAATCGTTTTTTCATTCTTTTTTCTTTTAAATAGAGTGTTTTCGTTCGAAGCTCGACCAATTTTTTTTTTTTGCAAAGAAAATAATCTCTTTTCTTTCAATTACGATTATAAATTCGATTCGATAAAATGATTCGAGCTTCTCGCGTTTTATTTTAAAAGCAGAAAAAAATACTTTATAGAATAATAAAAAATAAATGTTTTAAAAAGCATTGTTGTGAAATACGCTGAAACACTGCATACTGAAAAACATTTGAAAAATATTTAGAGTTAATTATTGAAGGAAAAAAATGAGTGTTTTAGCGTTAATTCAAAGATATGAATGCAAAAGAAAAAGTAATTTTTAATGAAAAAGAAAAAAAACAACAAATATATATATATATATATATTGTTAGATCTAAGACGACAAATATGTAAAAATAAAAACATCGAACGATTTTTTTTGTTTTTTTTTTTTTTTGAAAAGTTACCTTCGGGTTCTTTGGCAATGACCGTGCTGCTCCGGTCGACGCCGCCCTTCTTATCCTCTGTACAACATATATTTTTACAATTTATACATGTGCCTAGAGCCTACTATATATATATAGAGACATTATTTATTTGTACATGTTTCATATGTTTATCTAGTATCACTAGAAAATGCAGTATGCACTCCAAAGTGTATATTTTATATATTATAAACAAAATGAAAATAAATGTTCAATATTTACACGTTTGCTAATAAGTTCATAACTGAGAAGGAGGTTATAACTAATTTGCAAAGTTTATATCTAAACTTTGTTAATTAAGTTATTTAATGACGATCTCCAGCTACTATTTTTTTAAATCGATTTTTGTTAAATTTTCTTAAAATTTTCAGAAAATCTTTCTTTATATGTTTTTAAAATGTAGAAAAAAATTTGAAAAAATTGTTTGAATTTAAAACCCCTAAACAGTGATAAGATTGAAATTTTTTTTTTCATTTATTTATTTTTTTTATTATCAAGTAAAAAAAATTTTTAACCTGTAGTGTAATTTTGTAATTTCAGTTTGACTTCCACATCGATATTGACTTTCATAATGACATTCACTTTCACTGTAACTTTCTTTTTCATTTTCACTTTCAATTTTACTTTTACTTTTATTTTCATTTTACTGAAATTCAATTAAACAATTCAAGTACAAATTGAATTTCAGTAAAAGTGAAAATCAAAGTCAAAATGTAGAAGTTAAAATGAAATTACCTAATTGCACCCCTACTTAATTTTTATCAGTTTAAGATGTCCTGAAATTTTAACCCTTAAAGGATATATAATGAAACATTTTCTCAAAATTTTAAGAAAATTTAGGACGCATGATTATGTTTTAAAAATCATTAGTTAGAATTTTCATTTTATGGAATTTCATTTGTCATAATTATTTTTGAACCTAATTTTCATTTGTTGGAATTAGTATTTTGCAGAATTTTCATGGTAAAACCTGTTTTACCATCTGCCGGTAAGGTGAATTTCTATGCCGGTAAATATTTATTTCTCAAAATTTTTACCACCAGTCGGTAAGGTAGATTCTTGTGTCGGTAATTTTTGTATTTTTCAAAAAAACTTTTTCACTATCAGTCGGTAAGGTAGATTTTTGTGTCGGTATTTTTTTAAAAAAAACGAAAAATCATTTAATAGAATTTCTAATTAATAGAATTTTCATTTGTTCGAAATTGCAAATGGCCGAACAAACAATCGACAGAAAGATTTCGGAGCAATTTTTAAAATCAACCAATCACAGTTATATGAATAATTTTTGATTGGTTGACTTTAAAAATCGCGCTGAAATCTTTCTGCCGATTGTTTGTACGGTCATTTGCAATATCGGACAAATGAAAATTCTATCAATTAGAAATTCTGTTAAATAATTTTTCGTTTAAGTATAAATATCAAATAGTAATTCGAACAAATAAAAATTCGAGTCAAAAATAATTATGACAAATGAAATTCCATAAAATAAAAATTCTAACTAATGATGTTTAGAAAATAATCATGCGTCCCGAAAATTAAACATGAAAATCAATTTTCTTTTAAAAATAGTGACACAAGTAGGTTCTTAAATTTTTTTTAAAATTCATTTGTCAAAAGAGGGAATAATATATTTATTAATCAAATAAGAATCAGTGATGAATTTTCATTAGCACAGCATCACAAAAAATGTATTCTGCGATGACTAATTTCCACAAAGGAATCACAGTTTTAAAAGTGGAATTGTGTAATTTTATTTTCACTTTCACTTCAATTTTGATTTTCACTTTCATTTTTCAGTAAAAAATTCATGTAAAAATCAAAATGAAAGTAAAATTCGAAGTGGAAGTCAAAGCGAAAATAAATGTCAATGTGAAAGTCGAAACAAAAGTCAATGTCAATGTTAAAATCAAAGTGAAAGTGAAAATAAAAGGCAAAGAGAAAGTCGTAGTGAAAGTAAAAATGAAACTCGAAATGAAATTTGACAATCGTGTCACAAAATTCAAAAATTCCTTATCTAATATAGCGACAGAATTTTTAAAAAATTATTACATTTCTATTTAATACATTGTCTAAGAGTTTTTATTCAATTTTAAAAAATTCATCGCCTACATTTTTTTATAATTAAAAAAAGAATTCTGACATGATAAAACACATCTTACTTCAGATTTACACATCACGCGCAGAATACTTTTTTTGTGAAGCTGTGTTTGTTAATTAACAAATAAATTAATTAAAAACTGTTAAAAGAGTTTTGTACCTTCTTTTCAGAACGGTAGCATTTGTTCTTATTAAGAATTTCGTTTGTAAAAACATTCTCTCCACGTATAATTAAATTACATTTTCACCACTCTATTTTCAATTTTTCGAGAAATTACTTTGTTTCGTTTCATAAAGATTTCTCAATTTTTTTTTTTTTTTAATATTATTTATAAATGTGTGATGTCAATGGAAAAAGTCTTCAAAAATGACTCATGCATCATATTTTTATATATACATATAATTTTTTTTAAATGTACATCAGTGCAATATATAAGCTGACACGTGAATTGCTACAATTAACTCGAGTAAAATTTTCATTTTTTTCAAAATACTAAGAATTTGAAAAAAAATCATTTATCTTTCAATTTTTTCAAAATTTTTAAATTACAATTTAATACGTTCACTTGATAAATTAAATGTTGTTTATGCTTCATTTATAGCATGAATATTTTTTAAAAGTTCAAATTTCCAGGATATCGAATTTTATCTGATTCTGTTTTATAATAAAAATTTGTTAAACTTTTTTTTTTTAAATTCGAATAAATAGAAATTTGATCTTATAAATTTCGAAATACTGGAAATTTAAATTATGATTAGAAATTTTCCGTTAATTAGAAAATTTTTCATTTGTATTTTGAAGTATATTAATAAAATTATATAAATTAAAAAATTTTCAACGATGTGTAATTTTTACCCGAATTTTTTGGGCAAAATCATTATATACAAAAGCAAGGCACATGCGCTCGAATTTTTTTTGTTTTTTTTTTTGAAAAAGGATGTAAACGAAAAGAAATGGGAAACAGGAAAAGAGAACAATGACAAACATATATACAGTTAAACTGTAAGTACTGAAATTGCATGCTTGCGATTTTTATCTGTACAATTTTAATTTTTCTTTTATATGTATATTTTTTTCATTATCTATTCAATTAAATTTTACGATATGTGTATTTCTACACGGAGAAATGTGTAATTGAAATTTTATTTCCGATGAAATTCAGATAATATTAATAGAAATTTGTAATAAAACTAAATTTAAAAAATTAAGCAACAGTATGGTACAGTTTAACATACTATTGTGTAATTTTTCAAATTTAGTTTGTGAAAAATCTTCTAAAATTGCTTTCTTTTTTTACTTCATTAAAAACTAACGATAGGTTTTATTAAAATTCATTAACTTTTATTAAATGCAAATTGTGAAATGATATATAATTTTTTAGGTTATAGATAAGTAATATAATAATATATTATTATTTTTATATTTAAATCTATAATATTAATGTTATTTTTCGTATATTAATAAAAAGTGATTAACAATGTTCATCAGAATTTTAAGGCAATTTAGTCTGCTTTAAAATTAACTTCAAAATAATAAGCAACAAATATAACTAGTCAATAGTTTAAACATTAGTTACTGCATCCAGTAAAAAAATTTTTTTGATTCAAATAAATCAATTTCTTTAACAAATTTTTCTTTGACACAAAGAAAATTTATTTGTTTCAAACAAATTATCTTTGATTCAAAAAAAAATTATCTTCGTTTCAAAGAAAATTTTATTTAATTCGAATAAATTTTTTATTTAATTCAAATAAATGTTTCTTTGACCCTATATATTAATATTAGAATTTCTTTGATTTAATGCACAAATTTCTTTGATTCAAAAAAAATTTCTTTGAAACTAAGAAGCTTTTTTTGTATCAAAGAAAATTTTATTTTAATTAAAAGAAAAGAAGTCAAAGAAATTTGTTTCTTTAAATCAAAGAAATCTTTAATCTGGGTGTAATTTTACTAATTTTAATTTATTAATATTCAATCAAATCCACAAAATCACTAAAAAAAGACAAAAAACACAATGAAATAATAAAGAACAAATTAGCTCAATGAGAAATGTTCTGATTTCCAAATTTTCTAATCCAGGTTCGATTCCCTGTGGAGGAAATTTTTTTTTTTTACTTTCAAAAAAATATTTCAGACCTTTGGCTAGCTTTAGAATTCTGATCAACATTTTATAATACAAATAAAATAACAAATTTAAAAAAAATAATGAATCCATTTACAAGTGAGTGGATAATAATTATTTATGAAGGTGCGTGCAAAAGGTGAGAGTGTGATTATATGAGACGAGTGAGAGTCAATATTGGAAACATATGACATAGACAGAAAAACAAAGGCAGAATGGTGTTCATAAATCCATAACACCAGAGTATGCGTACGTTGTGACAGTGGCAACAAAGTGACGGACAAGAATATATATATATATATATTTTTTTTAGGGTTGTGTCGAAGTAATTTTTTATATGTGAACACACTATGTGGAATAAAAAAAAAATTATTCATTCTGAGATGAAGTAAAAAGGCTTCTGCAAACCATTTTTCGCGTTTACATAATATATAATAATAAAAAATGACACAAGTAAATAACATGTCATTGTTCCATGATCAAAGTGAGATCGTTGGATATATCAAAGAGAGAAAAAAAAGTAAATTTCGAATTTAGATAAAAAGAAAACAAAATTATTTTTTAACCCTCTTTATATCTAGTGTTTATTTTATTTATTTACTAAAAAGAAACAATTTACCTATTATTTATATTTTTTGTTTGTTAATAAAATAAAAGCTAATGTTGCAGAAAAAGTGAAAAAGAAGATTCTCGAGAGAATTGGACTATTTTTAAACTCTCTTTTTGTCAAATTGAAAATTAATAGACTAATTAGTTTGTTTTAATTTTTGTTAATATTTACCTTCATTTCATAATTATTAATTCAATTTTTTTGAAGAA